AGAGTGACAACAGGCACTGGAGCAAAGTGCCTGCCACGCTGCTGCTGCTGCTGTGCCTGTGTGGAATGGTGGGAATGGGGCTGTGCTCCTGCTCCTTGGCCAACAGCAGTGCCTGCCCTCTGATTTACTTCCTGGCTGGGAGCTGTGCAAAAGAATTCACCCCCTCTGTTAGTGTTGCCTTCCAGAGGCCTTTTGAGGATGTGCCAGAGCCAAGGAATGGGGACAAGACTGTGGAATCATCATGAAGTGGAGTCATCATGAAATAGAGGCATCATAATATAGAACCATAAAATATCCAGAGTTAGAAAGAACCCACAAGGATCATGGAGCTGAGCCCCTGTCTGCACAGGACATCCCAACAATCCCATCCTGTGCCTGAGAGCATTGTGCAAATGCTCCTTGAGCTCTGTCAAGCTGGTGCTGTGTACAGCAGGGGAACTCCTGCCTGGAATGGATGTGGAATGACGTGAGGAATCATCATGGAATGGTTTGGGTTGGAAGGAACCTTAGAGATCATTTCATTCCAACCCTTCTGCTGTAGGAAGTGGCACCCAGGAAACCTGTTGCTTTGAAATCACTGCATTGAGTCTTTTCTGTTCCACAGGGCCAAGCTTTCTCTGTCTCAGAATTGAACCTTATTACCCTGTGGAATTGTAAAATTGAGTCACCAAGCTGAGAGCTTTTCTCTCTGGATTTTCTTGTTTTGTTTGCTGAAAAACAGCATGCAGGTGGGTAAGAAATCTCGGCACAGCAGTGCAGAATGATTTCTGGGCAGATCCTGTCCATCTCCAGCATCTCCTGACACATGGGAATACTCTGTGGAGGCTTCACACTGAGTTTTGTTGTGCAGGCGAGTATGCAGCTGTTTGGGAAGGCCCCTGGAAGGCTTTCCCCAAAACTCCCGCTGAGTTTGGGGCTGTGGCCTGTCTTGTGAGTTGGAGAAGGATTGTTTTAATGATCCTTCCAACCCAAACCATTCTAGGATTCCATGGCAAACATCAAGCTGAGGTAGGGAGTGGCCTGGGTGGCACTGGAGACAAGGAAGGTGCTGGAAATTAAAAAAAAAAAATACATTGAAGGATCATGATCCTCCTGCACTTACCTTGAAAGAAAGCCCCTGGTGAGTTGTTCTTCCCTGGACAAGAGGTTGCACCATGGAATGTTTCTACTCTGCAATGGACAGGAAAAAGGAAGACAGGGAGAGAAAAACCCTCTCAGGTGTCAAAGTCTCTGTGTTCTGTTAGTTATTAACAGCTCTGTTAATAAATGCTCCTTTGGTGTTTAACCTCATGTGTGTCTCCAAAGCCTGACTCACCATCCACGGCTTTCCCTTTCACTTCCCTTTCCAGAAGCATTGGCACATTGTTTTCCCCTGGATTTAAGGCAGTGGGAAAAGGAGGGACAACTTCCCCTTGAAAAAGAGCTGTGGCTGCTGCCCAGGTCTCTCCCAGGAGGAATGAGGAGATCCTGGCACTGCCAGCATCATCCCAACCATTGCAGGCATGTGCCTTAGGAAGGGCTCTGGAATGAGACAGGTACTGCCCTGCTCACGGACAAGGCAGAGGCTTTGGAACGGGATAAAATAAGGAAAGAAGGAAATGAGCCATTTTGGACTCTGTTCACCAGGAACAGGCTCTGCACTGAAGCCTGGATGTTGTTTATTCAACAGCTTCTGTGGTCAGCTTTACCACATTGGAATCAAAGACATAAATGCAAACTTAATTTAGGGCTGGTTACAGAATGCAAAGATCAGCAG